ACCAGGACAAGGGCCAAGCTGTGGCGTTCATATTCTTTGGTTGCATCGGCCTTGTATGCTTTGTTGTGGAATTCTTTTTCTTGCACCCATGGGACGATAGCGTAGACGAGAATGAAGAGGACTAGTTACTTTCGAACACGGTCATCTCCTGTGCGAATTTGTAAGGTAGAAGGAGCAAATACCAAGGTTCGAAAAGTAGATAATGTTATATTGATGAAGTAGTTTAACCAGGAAAAATAAAGGTGCATTATACACAGAGCACACTTTTTTTCATGAATTTTAATATATCAAAAAATTCACTTCAATCTTAGGATATGGCTCAGGTCTAATCCAATCTACAGCCGAATCCGAAAACAAGTAAGGCAAATAAAAATCAACCTATATATATTTTTTATCAGACACAATGATCATTTAGCTGCAAACAGTATCAACCGCTGCATTGCATTCGCATAGGTCATTCTGTAAGGATGATGATTTGATCCTAAGCAGTCCATGTATTTTTTTTCATTACTTTTTACGTGTTTAACTGTGTATCGCTTTCTGATTTCAGGCGACTTACATTGATAGGCAAAATTGTATATCTTGTCCCTGAGAACATGGGATCAAACGCGAGCTAATCTAACATTATGACAATTTTTCAAAATTTACTCAAATCTGAGAGCGCAACCACGAAGAAGCACTCAGCCAGTTTTGACCTTTGTTTAATTCTTTTATTTCACTCCCTTTTTTTCTCTCTGTGAAAACTCTCTCTGAAATTTTGTTGTCTGGGCGCTAATAAATTATTTGTGTATCTTTAGTTCACCAACGAAAGAGTTACGTTGTGGTAAAAAGTTATGGGACGCAATTTATCAACTCTTGTTATTCTTGCATTTATTATATTATCAAACAATAAAGGCAGCGATTATCTTGAATAATGTGAGTCTAAAGGTTCTATAGTTCCATTGTACAAAAGTTCTATGACCAGGTGATAGACAACACCGAAGTGTGAAGGTTATGGCATATATCTGAAGCCTTTGCTATCAAAAATTTTTTACCCCTTTTTTTTCAGGGTAGAGACACACCTTGCAAGTAAACGCGTCTCTCTGCCCGTGCACTCCCCTCTTTTAGAACTATAACACAAGAAATGAAAGTAATGACTAATTCTATTACAAACGTATATTTTGTCTATTATTTTATTGATTTGAGCTTTCTTTCTCTACATAATAAATCTAATACCATCATCCCTGATGTGTGTATTACACGTCAGAGTGTGTACCTCATGACAGGAGGATGGAAGCTATTGTACTCCAACGCAGTTGAGTGTGACTGTCTTCTACATTTGATCTCTATTTTTCATCCATTTTTTTATTATTCGAAGGAGGGGGTTCCTTAGGGGAAAACCGATTAGAAAAATAAATGCATTCAGTGTGCGCTCTGGGGCGAAGTTCTTTTAGCTCTGTGCGAACCTTACTGTCATCTTTGTGTGTGTGGGCTCGCGCCGGGCGCGGTAGGATGCAGTTAGTGTAGTGAAGCCCCGTGCTGCAGCCTTTGTAGTGTTTTGGGCGACTGTATTGGTTTGACCTTGACTGTCTGCAGATGACGGCCGCCCTCCATGCCGCACCACCGCACGCCCAGAGGTGCACAGGTGGAACTCTTAGCACTGGGGAGTTCAAGCCCTTAAAGGACAGCCGCATGCTAAGGGGCATGCATCACGGGTGTCAGCGGCACCGATCCATCTTCGAGCTTCAGCACGGCACTCCGATCCTGCGGTATCACGTGTCCGGGGATATAGGGAACATACCGCGCCTCACCGCGCAAAGCCTCTGCTGGGGGCGGGGTGCCGCTCGAGTCATTTGGCAGTGAGTGGGTGCTGACACTGCCCTTGTCGGCACTCAGAACGGGCATTTACACCGAGACTGAGTCATGTGCATTAATCCATTTCAATCCCGTTATCTTGGGCGTACAATGTAAAGCGCGCCCCAAGGCCTCAGCTGACGACTTCATTCTTAGCGCTTGGTGCGGTAAGGATGTAGTTGCTGAGATCATCGACCAGCGCAAAGGCGGCTTTTAATTTGTACAATACGTTGCACTATTGAAGCTTAGTTGCGCACCCAGCAAGTGCGGATAACATGCGGCTGCATCAAGACTAGGGCTGTAGGGTGCAACGTATAAACTAGAATGAAGTGGCTTTCTATTGGTGAAGATGATGGACGTGGTTTGGTAGCTACACATGGGTGGGGATCAAGGACACTCGTTGTGTGCC